ATATTCTCTGCCCTCCGTTACTCCCCAGTTTTTGTGCATCTCGTGCACCTTCTCGGCTTTCGGTTACAAATGGTATGCAAATGTAGGAGAATATATATAATATATATACTAATATGTATATTATTTATCTGTATTTCGCTTAAATAGCTTCTGGGGTCTGACCCCTCGTCCTTGTGGTGGCGGTAAGATGGGGTGAGGTGTTATGTTCCTATCTCCACTTATCCCACCGATTCCTGATTTCTGATTCCGTTTTCCTGACTCCCCTGCAGCGTTGCCTTAATCTCTATCGTTTATCGCTTAACTATCTGCCTATCGATCACTGTTTATCGCTTATCGTTTCGCTTTCGCCTCCGCACTTACCAATACCGTTATGCGTTAAGTTACTTGTACCGTTTAAAGTTGCTCTCTTGTACTCTTATTGTTCACCGTTAGTCGGATCCTAGTGTTGTTCGGTGTTCTTCGGTTCTGAGTGTTTGTTTGTAGGTGTGTGCTGATGCCTGTCAATTTTTTTTTATTTTCAGGTACAGAAGGTCACTGTATATTGCTGCTAAGTTAGTATTTCTTAATTTCATCCGTCACTTGGTGCTCTCTTATTTTAGATTCTGTTAGTATCAAATGTATCAATCTGTTCAACTTTCAGGTATCGATAGCTTCTGCCTTGTTATTGTTCCAATACTAGGTATACGGTTTACTTTGCAGTTCTAATTTCTCATTCAGTTGCCGTCAGATCAATCTCACTGTCGGCCTTTGCATGCATTTTTTCTCAGTGTGTGATTTAATGGACGTGTTTTGGTGAAGTCTTTGCCGTCAATTATTGTGGTGTTTGTGAGTTATGTAAGTGCTGTGATTATGCTATTGATTTTGATGTATTATTTGCATCTCCTTTTGTTCGAAAGGCAGACTCTGCTGCGCTTTTAATCTGTCATTAAGCTTTTGGCTCTCGGTTATATGATGATTTGAATGGTGATTACTGCTGCCGTGCTTTTTGTTCACTGGGTTGTGTAAGCCTCCAACTTTGTTCGTTTTGTTTTCGGATTTCGATAAGGATTTTTGGATCTCAGAGGTGCAAGTAGCTGGCTAAGGGTGCACAGAGAACGTGATATAACAATGTTAGGATTACATTTATATTTTACCTTAAGAATGTGCAATGTACCTTCAAATCATAGCTCACAAACACAAATATGCAAGTTGAAATCTAAAATCATTAGGGGTTTTCTAAAATAAGTTGTAAAAACTAAGAATAAATTAGCACACCAAAATATGCAAGTTGAAATCTAAAATCATTCGGTTTTTTTTTTAATTTGTTGAAAAACTAAAAATAAATTAGCACACAAAAATTCTTTGGTTAAATTAGTTAATTTAATAGTTAAATGGAGCCAACCCATCGAGTTCTAAATCTGGTTAATGAAATAGTAAATCTCAAAATATCAAAATACATACAACTATTTTATAGTAGTTTCACTACTTAATAATAACCAAAACCACATTTATCACTTTTTTATTTTAAACGGTATTAAACTTGATTAATGATTTGATTGTTACCTAAGTACCCGTATTGGTCTATTCAACACAAGAAAACTAACAAAACTATTAGCGGTTCACGTTTTTATGGACAATTTTAAAGTCCTTGTCTTGAACAAATACGAAAAGTATTTCTTTGACAAAAAACGTTTTATGGTCACTCATACGCACTGTTGCCTTTAATGAAAAGTTTATTTTTGTAGGTAGCAACGATTTCAGCCAAATATTTGTTTATCGGTCTTGCCTATCTTGACATCTATTTCATCGAAGTCAATCAGTTGGGTTAGAAATGGAAAACGATCTTTTGGACTGAATTATAACTGGCATACGAGTCGTATGAGTAATTTTTAGGCAAACTAAGATTGCGTGGTCTAAAAAAACTTATTTTAGTTTTCGAACACATTTGTATAGTTTTTCCTTTCTTTCACACTTATAAAATTATTATTCTTTGTCAATGGCTTAAAGACACAGAAGCTGCAAGAAATTAGTGATATTAAAATAATATAAATAAAGTGGTAAAATGATTTTTTGAAAATTTTAATCTTGATTTTCTCCCAATTATTTATCGTGGCTGACTCAAAATTTTTAAAGCTTTTTAAGCATAAAAACAAAATTCTGTTTTTTGGAAACTTTTGTCTTAAATATAAATTTTTTATCAGATTTTTCTCTGGGTAAACGTAAATTGCGTAGTCTAAAAAAACTTTTTTTAGTTTTGGAACACATTTGTATAGTTTTTCCTTACTTTCACACTGTTGCACCACTTATAAAATTATGATTCTTTGTCAATGGTTTAAAAACACAGAAGCTGCAAAAAATTTATGATATTAAAATAAACTGGAAAGTGGTAAAATCATTTTTTGAACTTTTACTCTTGATTTTCTCCCAATTATCTATCATCGCTGATTCAACATTTTTAAAAGTCTCTGGGAAAAGTCGGCCTTGCGTTTTAAGCATAAAAACAAAATTCTGTTTTTTGGAAACTTTCGAATGAAATATACATTTTTTCTCAGATTTTTCTCTGGGTGAACGTAAATTTCTTAATTAAAGACAACTTGACCAGTTAATATATAAAGGGTTAAAGGTCCTAACATTATTGTTCCTCATTTTCCAGACAATTCTAAAAATCATAAAAATCAAGAAGAGGCTTAAAAAACTTAATAAAGAGTACCTGAACAAAAAAATATCTTGATTTTTTGAGGGTATATCGCGCATTCTTAAAAAATTTAGCGGGTCAGTATTTAATTCGCTTATGCCGAGGGCACGGAGATATATGATCCTCTACTCACCGATGTGCTGCTCTAGCCGGGACTCGAGCCAGTGCTTTACTTGCCTCTGCGGCCCCCGACCTATTTGACGAACAGGTCCTTGAGCGTGGCGCAGAGCGAGGCGTCGCACGTGTCCTTGGAGTCGTCCTCGTCGGCCTTGCCGAACCAGTTGAGGGTGGAGCGCACGGCCCGCCCGGCCTGCGATTGAGCTGAGCTGCCGGCGGAGGCGCGACTGCGACGGGCTCCGTGGGCGGGACTGCCGCTGGCGCTGCCCGATTCCTTGGCCGCCTTGGGCGTGGCACCGCGGGCCGCTGCCGAAGTGGAGGCGCCGCCCGACGAGCCCGGTCCCCCCATGCTCGATCCGCCCATGCTCGCATTGGAGCTCTTGCGCAGGAATCCCTCGATGGCGGTGCCCAAAATGGTGGCATCCACCGTTGCCTTGGTGGACTCTGCCCAGGTCTTCTGCTTGCTACGCGGCTTCAATTTCGGTTTGCCGGAGTCGCCACCAAGCGGATCCTTCTTCTGCAACCGCTCCAGCACGTCCTTGGAGAGGGCCACCGCCGAACTCTTGCTGCGCACACTCTTCTTGCGGGCCAGCGGCGTGTGCCGCTTGGCAAACCAACCGGTCAACGTGGCCGATCCATTGTCCTGCACATCGCTCACCAGCTGCTTGGCGTTGTTCAGCAGGGACACATCGAAGCTGTTGGATCGCGTGGACCGCCCGGCATTGGGATCGAGCAGGCCGCCTGAGGTTCCAGCTCCCAAACCACCTCCGCTTCCGCCTCCGCCTCCTCCGCCGCCGCCGACGGTGAGGCCGCCGGCCGTTGGTGTGGGCGTGGCACTGGTGGCCCGTCCGCGAGCTGCCGCCTGAAAGGTCTGGCTGAGGAAGGGGCTGCTGGCCGTGGCCGTGGCCGAGGAACTGGCACTGGAGCTGCCGTCGCGTCCCTCCGGCTCCGGCCGGTGCATGTCCATGGCCGAGCTGGTCAACGAACTGAATATCCCGGCGATGTCCGAGCGACTGCCCAAAAGGCCAGTGCCGCTGCCCGACTTCTTGCGACGTGTGGAGGCCCGAGTGGAGCTCTGCTGCTGCTGCTGCTGCTGCTGCTGACCTTGCTGCTGCTGCTGACCTTGCTGCGGCAGCTCGGAGGCGCGGCGAAAGGAGCTGGCCAATCCCGGCTGGGGACACTCCGAGTAGCGGCGGTTGGTGAAGCGCCTGCCCGGCTGACCGGTGCCCGCCTCGTCGACGGTCTGCACCTCGCACACCTTCTCGTTGGAGGAGGTCCAGAGCTTCAAGCGTGCCTTCCGCGACTGCAAATAGATGTCGTCCATGATGTCCAGCTGCAGATTGTGGATGCTCCCGATGGGATCCGTCGACGGGGGTCCTGTGTTACTCTCGCGGCGTGAATTCAAAACACGACTGCTCCTGTAAAAGCCAATGGAGTGAAAACAAAGCGGAAAAATGGTCCATTCTTGATTATGACATTGGGTGGGGGGGAGGGGGGGTATGGTTCGGGGGAGTTGTGGGCGGGTCGAGCTCAAAGGTGGGTTCTTAATTAAATTCCTGGCAGCCCACTGCCGAGTGCATCCCTTTGATCAACTCCATTGCTTTCAACAACATGAAATTCATTTTTAGCCAGCTTAGGTGTAATCAGAGAACTGGCCATCATCCTACGGGATGCCAATGAAAATGAAAAGCAAAATATGAATGGACAAAAGAAAAATATGCCTTTGATAATTTCACATGTCGAGAGTTTGAAAGGAAGTAGCAGCGCTTTATCTGTGGGAAATGTGAGCCGCATCTGTGCGAACTGTCGAGCACCATACATACGCATTATTTTCTAGAGCCACTTAGCTTCTTAAATAACGTTCCGATTTCGTTTTTATAGGTATAAAGTTGATGCATAAACTAGCGACGGCTAGGCATCACCAGAATCAGCGTTGTATTAATGCAACAAGTTCTATCAGAACATTTTTGGTTGGAATTACGGTTGTGCTTAAGCAACTAAAATTTTGCATTTTCAAAAATAATACGAAGTAAATCTAAATCTATATTATAAATATTACAACTAACTAACTTATATAGATCAGTATAATAAACATTTCATGCTTATTTGAATGATCAAAAACTATGCAAGTCCAATTGGCAAATTCAGTGTTGTAGAGTGCCATGATTTTCCATTTATTCGAACTTGGGTGGGCCCCTGACTATAAGGTTCATTATCGTACGGCTTTCTGAACAGTTCACATCAATTTATTCTAAACTTGCTTTGTAAAATATTAAAAATTGGTTGTGCTACTTTACACCAACAAAAAACCCAACATTTAAAGAAGTGGTAATTTTTCGAAAGACAAGATGCTCTTAGTGCAAGTATTATCAAGTTTTGAAAATAGTCGAGATGAGGTGAGTCTGAGATTTTTCGTTTAGTCGTTTGCTGAAACATTCAATGACAGTTGCAACCACGCCTACCTTGGCTGAATTTTTCCAAATCTTTGAAAACAAATCTGACAAATCCAGTGTTGTAGATTGCCATGATTTTTCATTTATTCGAACTTGGGTGTGCCCCTGACTATAAGGTTCATTTTCGTACGGCTTTCTGAACAGTTCACATCAATTTTTTCTGAACTTGCTTTGTAAAATATTAAAAATTTTGTAGTGTTACTTATCACGAAAACAAAACCCGAAATTTAATTTAATTTAAGTGTCAATTTGTCACAAGCGCCAAGATGCTGTTAATACAAGTGGTTTAAAGTTTTGAAAATAGTCGAGATGTGGTGAGTCACATCAAATTTTCCAATACTTTTTCAAATATTACAAATATTTTAGTGGTTTTTTACATCACAATAATCGAAATTTAACGTAGTGGTAATTTTTACACAACCCAATATCAAAACTCATATATCAAATATAATCAAAATATGGTGGGTTTAAGATTTTATATAAGCTGTTTTGCTAGAATATTCAAGTTCGTAATGACAGTTGTCAGTTCGTTTACTTCGACTGAATTTTTCCAAATAACATAACAAATCATACTAATTTCCGAATAGTTCATATCATTTCATATACTAGTTTTGTAAAATCCTATAATTTTCTAGTTCTTTTACATTAACATAAAATACAAATTTCCGTAGTGTTATTTTTACACAAGCTAAAGTGTTTTTAGGTCCCAAATTTCTTAGTGTGCTAATTTCGGATAATTTTAAAAGTTTCTCTTTTCTATCTAAGCCTTTGGACCAGCCAATCTTGTTTGAGATCGAGGATAACGCAAACATTCTGCATCTGTGCCAAAAGCTGGAGCCTATAACGGCGATACCCCTGTACGAGATTAAAATCGAAAAATTAGGCAAGGGAATAGACAATAACGAATTGATTTCTGATGTTTTGGATGTGGGGACTTCTGAAGATTTGGGAACGGACGCTGAACTCTCTGTCCTACACGGCAGCTCATTTGTGGCGAAGATAAAATTCTACAAACAAGCACATAAAAACGGAGAACCGCTCAGCCACGAATACTACGGGCTTCCGCAAGAGATGATCAAGGTAAATATAAAGGCGGGCGAAATAATGCGATAATATTGGTATCCTTAACGTAATTTTTAATTTGGCGAAAACCATTATTCCTTAGCGCAATGGTACTCTTCTCACAGGACGATCGGCTCAAGTCGCGGATCCTGAGCCGATCTCTAGCTTTGAAGAGGAGGAGCCGACCTGTTGCGAGATCAGATCAGCGAATTTGCTATAAAGAAGTGTAATTGTAACTGCTTAGCTTAAAAAACCCCTTGCCTCTCCTGCTTTTCCTGATGGTGCTCCCAGCTGTAATGTAGTCAAATCGATGTCGTCAATGTAGCCAAAGATCTACTCCTGATGGTTCCAGTTGGATATCATGTTCCGCTCGAAAGGGCTTTTCAGATAGCATGCACTGCCTCAATGTTAGGGATGTCGTTGCCCACCTGGACTTCGGCCGCCGCCTTGCCATCTTTGCGGAAAAGCAGCTCCAGGTCTTTCAAGGCGCTCCAGCCCAAGCGCCACTCGTTATCAATAACCAGAATGCAGTTTAATTCAGAAGATTTGATCCAAAAAAATGAACGTCTAGCTTGGAAACTCCCAAGCCTCGCCTGCTTTTACTGATGGTGCCCCAGCTGAAGAGATCATCAATGCGTAGTCAAATCAATGTCGTCAATCTAGTCAAAGATCCACTCCTGATGATTCCAGTTGGATATCATGTTTCGCTCGAAAAGGTTCTTCAGATGGCACGCACTGCCTCGATGTTGGGGATGTCAATGCCCACCTGGACTTCGGCCGGTGCCTTCACAGCCGCTCCAGCCCACGAGCCACTCGTTGTCGATCACCAGAATGCAGCTTAACTCGGGAGTTTTCATAAAAAAAGAAGCCAATCTGATGATGTAGAACGCCATGTCTTTCTATTTGTTCGAAATTTGTTTGTGGCCTGTCTATAATGTTAGTTTCCGTACGGCTTTCGGAACAGTTCACATCAATTTTTTAAAATATTAAAAATTTTTAAGTGCTTCTTCACACCAACACATGTCTTAGATTTTTAATTTTGTTGTTTGCTGGAACATTCAATGACAGTTGCCCATACGCCAACTTCTGCTGAATTTGTCCAAGTCATTGAAAACAAAATCCGGTGTTGTAAAGTGTCATGACTTTCTAACTATTTAAACTTGTGGGTGGCTCTTTCGGTTGATTTCCGTATTATTTAACAGTTCATAAAAAAATATAATAAATCAATGTATTTGGTGCTACTTTAAAACTTTGTGATACATTTAAAGTGGTAATTTTTACACAAGCCAAAATGCCAAAAAAGAAGCTCAGGAATCTGCACGCCAATCAACCTCAATAGCCTAGCTCCCATAGTTTCCGAGATCTCAGCGTTCATCCGGACAGACAGGCAGATCGACTCGGCTAGTGATCCTGATCAAGAATATATATACTTTATGGGGTCGGAAACGCTTCCTTCTGCCTGTTACATACTTTCCGACGAATCTAGTTTACCCTTTTACTCTACGAGCAACGGATATAAAAAGGGAATCCGGTGATGTAGAACGACATGACTTTCTTTTTGTTCGAAACTGTGTGTGCTCCTGTCTATAATGTTAATTTTCGTACGACTTTCTGAACAGTTCACACCATTTTTTTCTGAACCTGCTTTGTAAGCTATACAAATTTTTTAAGTGCTACTTCACACCAACAACCCGAAATTAAACGCTTATCGATGTTTTATTTTGTTAAAATTGGCTATTTGCATGTATCATTATTTTTTAAATATAATTTTCTTGTGGTTCTTGGAGCATAGATAAAGTGCCTTGTTCTTGGTCTCATCCCTTATCATGTCCTAAATGAAAATCACTGAGGATGGTAGTCCATGTAGTGGCGAAGTGCACCAGGTGAGTGTGGAAAGGGGACTACTGTGTATAGCCACAGAATGGAAAATCTGCAGTGATGGTCCGATCATAACGAGTGATAAATACACTTTCAAAATGTTTCTCATTCGACACGCTTTATCAATCGCAGCTCCCTGGCTACTTGGGCATATTGTACTGCAGCGTGCCGAATGACAAAATTTTATAAAGTGTGTTCAGTGGGTCATATAATATATTTTTATCACAAAAGTTGATATCAGAACATTTGTATGTTGAAGGTGCGATAGTCACTACATTCTTACCTAGTGTTTTTATTTGATAATACTTAATGCTTATTTACAATTCCAGGTACTCTCGCTGAACATTAAATCGACATAATTACTCGTACTATTTAATATGTTAAACTAATAAAATATATAAGAAATGGGTCCAAAACAAACATGTTACTAAATTCATAAATCAAAATTAATGCAGAGTATTGAATCTGAACTACTTGTGAAGGACGTTACTTCACTTTCGGTTTAAAAAGATGGGTAGAGTGATAAGAGGAGTTTAGAGTTCGTATCTTTTTGTTAATTCCGACAAACCGAACCAACAAAAAGGAAAAGAACCGATTTCTTTCGCAATATTACGACCTAAAAGGAGTTCTAAGGTTGGGAAAGTTCCAGTGAATATAATCAGGGGAGAGATTTGAATCACAATGATATATATTTAAACCAGCGGTCGGTGTTTGGCACGCAACAGTGTGGAATAGACAAAATCCAACCGCTGATTTAAACCATTTGTACATCTAACTTACCCATTGCTGTTGGGATAGGCGGCCACGGACTCGCGGCGAGACCGCCCAAAGATGGTGGTGGGCACCTTGGAGATGGTCACCACCGAGTGGCGACGCCCGGTGGGTGCCGGGGCCTGTGAGAGGGTGGCCAGGAAGGCGGCCTCCTTGGGGGTGGGGCCCGATCCCTCGCCCCCGCGCTCCGAGAGCCGCCGCACCTGGCTGGCCGTGATGCCGTCGGTCACCTGCTGCGAGGGCAGCGAGTGCTTCCGTGCCTCGCGAGGATCGCGCCACGGCGAGAGCAGATACGGATTTACGGGCGAGTCGATGTCCAGGCTGCCGCGATTTGAAACTGTCGGCTCAGAGCTGTCCTCCTGCTCCTCGGGCAGATTGGACTCCTCCACCACGATGAGTGGTTCGGGGGCGCTGATGCCATGTGATCCCATCGGCTGGGGGCGTTGTGGGTGCTGGGGGTACTGGGTGTTTTGGGGGAGTGGCGGTGGGCGGGGGTGACCCGGTCCGGTCGACTGGCCCGTGAAGCGGGCGAATGGTGAACCACGGAACCGTAGCGCATCTGCGGAGGATATTTATTTTATTTTTCTTCCAAACAAGAAAGTTCACTATTTAATAGCATAATAATATTATATTATTGTTAATTTGTTAATGTTATTATGTTTTTATGTTAATTTGTGTTATATTTTATGTTTCTAATTTGCGGGCGTAATGACACTGTGATTAGCGAAGTAACGCCCACCAAAAATGTGTTATAGCGCCCTCCTCCCGTTTAAAGGTCTTTAAACCAATTCATGACGTTGAAAGGCTGTCTTTTAGTCACAATAAAATGTTAACAATTGGTGCAACATCAGGTGCAAAATGCCTGTTTGGCAACAGGCGTAATGGTGTCCGGTTTGCTCGAGTGGTTCATTAGTGGCTCGTCGGCCTGTCACTTACCCATTTTGCACAATTGCTCAATTGCTCGCCAGCGGGGAATTCGCTACCAACTGGCTTCGGGGTCTGGACAATCTGCTCCCGACTCCTCCTCTCCGGTGTTCTCGCCTCGGTTCGCTGTCCTTTGAAGTGTCCTTGCTGCAAAGAAGAGCAGGCGAGACGAGCCATAGGCGATGCAGAAACGCAAAATGTAAAGGCTGTAGAATTAGATATATTCTGTATGCTCTTAATGGTATGTTTAGTAAAACAATCAAAAGCTCTTTCGATATTATCGATGGATTTTTTTGGGCCAACCATTGGCAAAATATTATATTTTTTCAACAAATGTTTGGTATTTTGTAAGAAAAAATAGTATTTTAGGTATATTTCTTAGAACAAGAAGTTACCCAACAGTTATCGATAGTATCGATAATATCGATTGCCAAAACTGCCGATGGGGCTTATTATTAATGTGTTCCCAGTGTTCTTAGTTCCAACTAAAAAAGATGTTTAAACTTTTTTAGTATTTTTATTTGCTTTTAGGGGGTCAAACGTTATTGCTTAGAATCCTTTAAGTTACGTTCCCCTATACGATTTATCACCCGTTCTGGCCCCATACAAATCGATCCTCCCTAATATGTAGCCTTCAAAAATCCTATTCACTAAACAGAATTTCGAATTAGCTCTTATGACAAGGTTGCAACTTTCAGAGTGATTATAAGGAATACGATATCACGAAATCCCAAGGACTCTGCACGCCGGATTAATTGCTTCATCTCTAATAGTCGGTGAATATTTTGAGCGCTTTTTCCCGCTGCGCACTCGAATTTCCAGATACACCGCATGTGCCCCTGAGCCCGAAGGGTATTACGTCCGGCCAGCTCATGTGTGAATCCTTCACGTGCGCCGTGCCCCGTGCCCCGTGCCCCCCCGTGTGGCAGGTTAAATAAAGCCGGGGCAAGTTTCGCTCTTCCTGCTCATTATCCCCGGCTACAAATTGCAAATGGCAGCAAAATCATGCATCAAAGTAATTAAAGCCACTATCCAGGGACTTTTCGCTTCGCCGGAGATGACTGCCCAGCCCGGCCCGGTCCCCTTTTCCGGCCCCCCCCCCCCCAGTTAGGAACAGCCCTGCCATAATAAGCATAAAATTATGCAAAAGTTGAAATGAAATTTCGCCATAACTCAGATGCCACAGGAGTTTGTATTTCGCAGGCGGTTGCCGGATGGCGATGGGTTTGCATCGGTCTAATGGCGCCGGCGATGGCGATGGAGTTTAAGCCGCAACCTCAACTGTTGCCAGGAGTAATGGGAACTTTTCCTTTGAAGGGGTTCCGGCGACTAATGATGATGTTGTGGCAGCCCGCCTTCAATATTGATGCGTTTCCTTAGCCCTTTCATTCGATCCGCCAATCGGAAGCGATCTGTGAGAAGCATTTATTAGATCATCTCAGGCATTTCACCTCAACCGCTGGCCTGCGGTCTTTAACCAACGCAAATTTGATTTGATTAAGCGCACTTGCATAGCCGTCCGCGGCCGCATCCGCATCCGTCATTCCTGCAACTTGGGCATCTGAGCGTCGCAAGTGGCAAGTGGCAAGCCGCAAGTCGCAAATCGCAAATCGCAGGTCCAAAGTCCCGAGTCGCAAGTCGCAAGTTCATTAAGCTTGTAAATTGGCAATCAACACCAAAGTTGCGGCTTTGTGTTGGAGCTAATTAGCCTGTCTATGCCACTGACAGGACCTCCGAGCCTGGGCGCCCCCCCCCCCCCCCAAATTCCTTCTTTCCCCGCCAATTATCCTTCCGCGAAATGCTCCATTGTCCGCCGCTGAGGTGACTGGAAAGCTTGAAAAATATTGAGCCACTTGAACTACTAGCGAACAAACTAATTACTGGAATAAAAAACAAATTATAACCATGTTCGGAAAGACAAATAAACGCTGCTCTGAATTTTAATTATGCTTAGTTTCAGAAAGTCGCCCACTGTTTTCCGGGTTTCGCAATAGGGCGCAATCCAGACCCATTTCGGAAAAGGAATTCCTAGCTGGGGTTAATTTCGTACGCACTGCAGTCAGTTTGCGGATCCTGTATTGCATGTCCTTTTTGACATTTTTGGTCCTGCAACATGGACTTCGCCCCCATTTTGCGGTTAATCCGGCCGTCTATATTAGGCATTGTGGCATTAGGCCAGTGCCCAGACCAATTGGGCACCTAATGCTGCCAGCAGGACCGAATGTCAAAGTAGAGCCTAATAGGAGCCTTTCGTTCGCATTATGCTATTTTGAGGAATCAAGGAGGGTTCGGATTTTATGAAATTTCCCAATGTGTTCCGTCTGTAACTGGGCATAATTAAGTGTGCAAACCGAAAACTTCTACGAAATAGTGTCTCTTTCACTTTTCTACTCTCGTTTTGATTGGGAAAATC